GTTATTTCAACTACCCTTGTGCTTAGCTAGAGATGAAGGACTGTTGTCTTAGAAGCATGACCACTAACCAGCCTTCTGCAGTACTATTATGTCCTCTTGTTAGACATACTCTTTCAGAGGGACAGGACACTCATGCCTGTGTCAGCCTTACACTGTCCCGTCATGCTGGCTCTCTCTCCGAGAGCCCAATAGCCATAAAAATGAAGACCTACACAAGAGGCAGCACATACAGGAAAATGCTGACAAATAGGATTTTACCTTATTCACACTGACAGTTGAACCATTTACCTGGAACGAAGATGATGTGGACAGATAGTCTGTCCAAGTACCAATGAAATACTAAAAATCCTTCTTGATTACCCATTTTGCTTCAGACTGTACTTCCCAAATTATTCATCTGCTGTGCAGGAATAAACCAGTAATCCACAGGATTGAGAGACTTTAAAACTTGTATACAAGTCAACAGCAGGAACTCGACAAAGAACAGCATTGCACAGGTTAAGGCCCTGAAGCTTGAGATCCTGGGCCAAAGAAAACATCAGTGGTATGCAGCTCTATAATTAGCCGTATACATGCAGGATTTAAGCTGGGGATTAGTTATCCCTTTTGCTCAAGCATTCAAATCTAAGGCAAGGGACTCAGGAAAAAGTATTCCAAAACTGGGGTAGGTAGGGTGGGGAGAAACAGGAGCGACAGATACCTGACTAAGCTATATCAAGGACCCGCATCCATTGGGGTGAGACCTCGAGCCTTGTTTTTCAGGGAAGCAATCCTGTAGAGACAGGAGAGGTCTCCCAGCAGAGAGCACAGGTGCAGGAGCTCACAAGCTCTCTTTTCCCTGTTACACTGAAATCATCCAGTTCAAAACCTGAGAACCAATCCTGCAGAGCTTGTACCAGGCTTCTGTGGTGCAGTGTTTTTCTCACCTCCACTGAGGCTGTATCCTCTTTCAAACAGTGCCTTTGGGCCTAGAGGGAAGGCCCCCAGCCTCAGGAGAGCTGAAGTTTCTGACCCCTCTGCCAGTAAGGAACCAGTGATGCAGCCGAGACACGAAGGACCATGCAGAGCAGCCCGTTTGCCTCTCTTTTCCACCAATGCCGTTTCCTTCAGGGATTAGGAAAGTTGAACTCGTTACTTGTCAGGACCAGTCTGTAAGCGCCAGCACTTGGGCAAAAAGGTTTCATCCTTATCCCAAACATTTTTGGGATGTTTTCATTAAAACGTAGAGCCTCCTCTGGCAGTTGCCACCAGACTGAGCTATTCAATAGTTTGTGCAGCTGCACCCAAACAGCTTGCTGCCATAAATAAGGCAACAAAGCATCCCAGCTGCTCAGTTCTGCTTCTGTTCAATCAATTCTGGTACTAGGTAAGTTACACACACTCTGCTTCAAGATATATATGGGCCTCTGACACACCACAGCTACCAGTATGATTATCATTCAGCATCGGCATACCTAAACATACAGACGCCAGGAACTACAGGAAGACAAATTCAGACAGGTTTAGCCTTCTCTCGGGCAATTACTGCAGATCTGTGCCTGAATCTTAACGAGATCAGCACAGTTCTCTGTCCTAATTTAGGGTTGCAAATCTAGGAAAGTCCAATGGCATGGAGTAATGTGGCAAGCTTTCCAGATGTTGAGGTTGCTTCTGCAAAAAGCTCATTCTGAATTGCCCAGGGCGAATTATTTGAAAAATGTGAAGACCAGTGCTGTCAAAGGATCAACTGAGAAAGCTGTACACAGATAAAACTAGCTGAAAACTGTTGCTCTGCAGTGGTGTATTCTGTCAATAGGAAAAGTCTGAAAAAGCCTGAAGTAGCTTGAAGACACCTTGTTACTTTGTCACCCTATCAGAAAACTGTTCAGACTACAACCATTTAAAGAGTATCAAGAAAGAATGAAGCCTGACTAATAAGCTAACGTAGAGGAACACATTCTTTTGTCTGTACTCCTACTAGATCCATGCTGCACCTGAAGATACCTACAACTTTTTCCAGTTTGCTAAGAAAGCATGACATGAAATACAATAATTGGAAGTTGGTGATTGCAGAGACATCTCTGAAGCACCATATATGAGGGAGTGGGGAGGGAACAGTGAGAGGCCATCAATAAATCCAGGGAAGGGTCCAACACAACCGGCCTATGGCAGCAGCCTGCCACTTTCTCCAAAGGGACCCTCTCATGGTGCAACTTTGCGCTTCTCCGGTCACATCTGTCATCCTTTTAATCACCGACAGCTTCAGGCTCGTGCAGTCACTGAGAAGGCTAACTACATATATTGTTCACCTACAATAAGGTCTCCCTGGAGCCTTCTCTTCTCCAGGCTGAACCACCCCAACTCTCTCAGCTTTTCTTCACAGCAGATGTGATCCAGCCCTTGGACCATTTTCATGTCCCTCCTCTGGACCCCCTCCAACAGCTCCACGTCTTTCCTGTGCCGAGGACCCCAGAGCTGGATGCAGTGCTCTGGGAGGGTCTCATGAGAGTGGAGTAGAGAGGGAGAATCACCTTCCTTGACCAGCTGGGCACACTGCTTTGGATGCAGCCCGGGATACGGTTGGCTTTCTGGGCTGCAAGCGCACATTGCTGGCTCATCTCCAGCTTTTCATCCCCCAGTACCCCCAAGTCCTTCTCCACAGGGCTGCTCTCAGTCCCTTCATCCCCCAGCCTGTACTTGATAGTAGGGATTGCCCCAACCCAGGTGCAGGACCTTGCACTAGGTCTTGTTGAACTTCATGAGCTTCACACTGACCCACTCCAGCCTGTCGAGGTCCCCAAGCCTGTCAAGGTCCCTCTGGACAGCGTCCCATCCCTCTAGGGTATCAACTGCACCACTCAGTTTGGTGTGATCCACAAACTTGCTGAGGGTGCACTCAAACCCACTCTGTGTTTTATAAAAATACTGTACAGTTATCAGTCCCAGCATGGACTCCTGAAGGGCACTACTCATTACTGATCTCCATTCTGACATGGAGCTGTTCACTGCAACTCTTCGGACGCGGCCATCCAGCCAATTCCTCAGCCATCTAACAGTTCATCCACCAAACCCATCTCTCTCCAAGTTCTTACAAGGATGTTGTGGAGGACTGTGTCAAAGGCCACACAGAAGCCAAGATAGATGATCTTTTGTCATACATTTCACTTGTCAAGACATTTATGAAGTTACTTTTGTAAAATATCATCCTGTCAGCCAAGTAAGATTGATCATGCACACGAATTTGTTGATCAACACTTAGGCTGTCATTCTTTAATCTCTGCTCTCCCCTTGCATCAACTTTTATCCACTTTGGTTTTTTAAACCATCAACACCACAAGGAAACTTCTAGTGCAGTCTTTATACTCCTAAATCCAGCCAAGAGAACAGGAACAAACAGTAGAAAATGGAAGCTAGGCAGACCAACTAAGTCATGGGAGAGGTGTTTTGGTTTTCTTTAGTAGGAATAATAAAACTCTGGAACAATTAAAAATAGCAAATTTTCTCCTGCATCACAAACAAAAGCAGCAAAGAAGCTGTGCTGCATTGCGAAACTGGGGCAACTGTGAGCTACCAGTATGCTGTGGCTGGGAGAGAGGTCAATGGGATCACAGGTGGCATGGGATGATGCATTTCCAGCAAGATAAAAAAGGACGAATGCCACTATACAATATATTCAGCAGGTCTAATCAACTACTTTCAAGAAAAGGAAATTCAAGCTAACAAATGCAAAGAAGGGCTGCTAGGGCAGATGACCGGGGAAAGAGCAAGCTGATCCCAAGAGACTTTGGCTATCAAAACACAAGTTGGAAATGACAGGCTTGCTATTAACTTGGAATGTGTATAAAAACAGGGAAGAAGAAAGGTTATTGAAGCTAACAGGCAATAGTAGTACAAAAAGAAGTAAACACAGATTAATCATAAAGTTAAACTGCAAATACAAATTTCTAACCTACAATAGAAGAAGGTTCTTTTAAGTGTTTGAAACAAAATACAAAAATTTAATTTTAAAACCATCTCTAAGCAGCTGCAGGCTCAACTCAGAATTCCCCACTGAAGTTCCTTTGAGATTATTCTTCCTTTATTTGAATTTCTAAACTAAAATGATTATTTTCTTCAGATCTGTGCTGTGTACCAGTTACGCATAACAAGCAATATAGTAGCCCCTTACATACTTAAAATATTTAAAATAATTTATATGAGCTAATTCTGTTCCTACTCATTAGCTAGACAGAAAGATTACTAAAATAAATGCATTTAAGCTTTGTAAATATTACTAAAGCTTTGAGTCCTCAACAAAAAAAACCCCAAACTTTCTTTTCAGGCAAGGCATGTGGTTCCGTATCACTGTCCATAGTACAAGGGCTAGATGCTTATTTCATAAATGCACTTTAGGTGCTGCAAATCAACACTACTCTCATCTCAACCCAGCTGTGACGCCTGCAGCCTGACTTGCTATTCATATTTTGGCACGTTAAGGAAGGCTCAGTAAGGGTGACTCTGACCCATCAATAAAACTGTGAGGTCCAAACTATGGTATCAGAACAAATATGTGAACACTCCAAAAAGGCCCAGCTGGTTCAATTCTGGGCTCTGACCCATGTTTGGGCTCCTGAGTCCAAGCTGAACATGCAGGTCCTCAGCCGGAAAGATACCTCACAGCCCCACACACGCTCA